GGAGGAGGAGGAGGTGGAGGAGGAGGAGGTGGAGGAGGAGGTGGAGGAGGAGGTGGAGGAGGAGGAGGAAAAGAAGGAGGAGGATGACGACGACGATGACGATGAAGAAGCTGTTTATGATGATGTGGCATCAAAGTTAATGTTATGACAGGTTATAGAACTGGTGGTTCTGTGAATGCTTTACATTTAATCTGGTTCATGTTCTACAAGAACATAGCCATAGATTTTGCAATTTATTGTCAAGGAAGAAATCTGGAAGACACAAAACAAGGGAGGATTAGCCTGACCTGTCTTAAGATTCCTACAAGAGACATAGGCCTAACAGGGTAAGACATGAGAGCACATGCTTAAGAGAGAAGAAGGGCCAATTTGCAGCAGATTAAATCAACCTAGCTGTTTACAATAGATGAACATAATGTCAACTTACCCCAAGGACAACGATGTATCTGCCCACGCGATCCACTGGCTTACTGAAAAGACCTGAAAATTAAACAATAACTCAGTTGTCAGACGAGGCCTACACATATGTATGAAATGTACAGCAAACAGGGCCCATAAAATAGTTTAGTACAAGTTGATGGACTGAGGTGCATCAAGCTTCAGTCAGGTGCTGAAGTGTTCAGTTTGCATAAGTCTACAATTCACAATACCTTCTAGAGTAGTCACTTCTTGGATAGACTGTACATTGAGTTCCTAAAATAGAAGCAAAGGTAAAATCAAGTATTCATATTTTGTTTGCAATAACTCAACAATTCATCAATAACTTACTTCACATCGTACCTTAGAAAAAATGTTGTTGAACTGCTCATTACTTGCTTTGCATTTTCTTATTGTTGATAAAGCAGTTTTGTAATTTAATATGTACTCTCTGTAGACTTCAAACTGATCCACCTAAAATAAAGAGATATCAGTAAACACAACTGATAAACACCAAGTAAAAACATCAAAACATATAATAAGCACTGTGGCACGTCTTTTTTGAGTTCATGTAATAGTCTGTGTGCCAGATGCTTACAAGACTCAACAACGCACTTGCATGGGAGAATGAGCAAATTTATCCTTTAGTTAATAACACAAACACAGAATTTTCAAACTATTCAATTGAGATTTGTAGAGATATAATCTGGTAGTTTCCAGCTTCCTTTAATTGCCTGACTTTTAAAATATAAACACGAATAATGAAATTCTTTTCTTTTCTCTTATCAAACTTACCAAACTCAAAAACAAATCTCCAATAAGATGGCGGTCGGTCCAGTGCGACACACGTGCCTCCAGGTCATTGTAAAACACAGTGTGGATTGTGTGCAGTTCATCCAGCTTGTGAAAGATCTTGTTGTAGTCAACGGAGGTTAAGATTGGAGCTGACGACTCAATAGACAACTTCAAAGGCTTCATGTGCTGTAACAGAAAAACAAGAAGATGGCTGTAAATGTATTTTTCTGTGATGGACAGCAATGTAACAAAAATTATGTTCAAAACCCCATCAAGAAATTAAAAATTGCTATTAGCAATCATATCCATGTTCACGGTGCAAAGGAAAACAATTTTCCAGGCTTGCCCTTTGGGCAAGCTGTAACCATGATGTACTATAGCCTGAAAGTCATTCTCACAAGTTTTCTTCCAAAAGTTAACCGAATAAACAACTTATTGCACACCTTTCAGTGAAGAGTAAAAAATGAAGAACTATTTAGTGGTTGTAATGCAAGGACTTTACAGGATTACCGGTATGCAAAACAATCTTTTGTAAATATTTGCTTGTCAACACAGCTCAACCAACATTGTCACCCAGTGACAAATCTAGAATCCAGTCCTTCTCAAGCTTGACCTTACTGACAGAACAGTACTGTATATCTTAATAACTTAGGTATATCTGTATATCTTATGACTTAGGTAGTATACCAAGACAAGATTATTCTGGGGGGGGGGGNGGTGCTCATTGTACCTTTTAGGAGTCAAAAAAGCAGTTTTCATACCTCTTAGGGTGTTCAGCCTCAAAAGGTCCATAATGGGAGCTTATGCAGTACCTTTTAGGGTATTGAGCCAGAAAAAAATATGACAAGGAGACAGTGTGTGGTACCTTTTAGGGTTGGAAGAAAATTTCAAGCCACACCCACAAACAGGATTTTGCTACCTCTTATAAAGGTTCTTTTCAAAATTTCAGACGAGTACCCTTGTCCTTCTTATCTGGGAGTTCCCACCCCCAAGGAGATAATCCCTTAGGCTAGTTGACAGTTTTCTGTAATCTCATCAACCATCTACATGTACTTGACAGGGATTTGGTAGTGTGTTGGCAGAATCAAGAACTTGAAATATATACTCACTTTGTATAACATGTTAAGACATTCTAGGTATCCCTTCTCACTGTCTAAAACAGCAGCTACAACCCACTTCCTCTTGTGTAGCTTTTCAGCTTTGTCATCAGAACTGGGTTCCTAGCAGAGATGTGGTGAATGAGCATAACCATTTCATAACTAACCCTTACTGACCAATAGATCTATTGGTCTATTTGAGTGTCAAATGAAGAGGAGTGCAAGAGAGCTAACATGGGAACTATCAACGAACAAGTAAAGAGAAGGAGGTGGACATGGATTGGACACATGCTGTGAATGGATAACAGTTCCCTCCCACGAGTCACACTGATGTGGGCACCAAAAGGAAAACACAAGAGAGAAAGTTAGACCCAGGGAAACATAGCATAGGACAATGAAGAAAGAGCGAATGGCAATGGGTTGCTATTCTTGGGTAGAGGCAGGGCTAGCGGCTGCTCACAGAGTGTCTTGGAGAAGTAAAATTTCTGGCGCCACGCTCCAAACGGAGAAGCGGAACTGATGATGAACCCTTATTAACTAGAATGGATCGCGAGGGCTTTACCTGTCATTGGGCTGAGTATTTTTTATCTTCTGGTAAGAAGAAAGACTAAGGGAAAAAGCATCATACACATTCACTTTACCCTAATATTGCATATAGAAATTTGCCTGATAGCAGGTTAGTGAGGGCTTTACCCAAGTACATTTTAAGTCCTCCAAACCCCACTCAAGCAATACTTTATTTAAGAAATAGAAAACATGCACTGTGTTTCTATCAAGTTATAGAAACACAAATGGATAGAACTCGATAGAAAGTCGAAGAACATGTTTTCTATTTCTCTTAGAAAACACCGCAACGAAAAAAAAGGAAAACAACTTGTTAACTTTGATTATCAAAATGTAAATTATCTTTGCTCACGCCATTGTTACGTCAACAGCTCATGCTAGTTCTGTGTTTCTATCAAGTTATAGAAACACGATTTTTAACCAATCAGCACGCATATTTTCTTAGGACTGATTTCTAAATCATGTTAAAGCACAAAGGAGCAAACTCATAGATAATCACTCAACATAATGAATAATAGGGTACATCTACATGACCTCTCAGATAATATTTGACTGTGAAAACCTTGGCTCAAGAGAGGCTCTACTATCCAAAAAGTACAACCTAGTAATGACAATACCATTAACTGTGTTTTACTGAAGTGCATTGGGGAAAGCACATTTTCTGGAAGTATATCTACCATTCAGCTTTGCATCAAGATAATGTTCTCTAATATCAATGTCTACTTCAAACTCATCACCTGTTTGCTTGATAATGAATTGATATCATAAATGATAAATTAGATGTTAATCCCTCTTGGGAATCATGGTACACTTACTGCATGCTTTGCAGGACTTCCAGCAGGGGAAGGCACAGGAGAAGATGGAAAATCAACATTATCATCTCCAATCACTACATGGGAGCCTCTAGCCTTGCGGAGTTTCTTGTGATCATCATTTTCTGTACTTTGGCTGTGAGAGCGAACTTGCTCACTGGCACTTCTCTTTGGCAAGCGGCGTGTGAGGGTCTCATAGTCACCTGATAATTAAAATTGAATATGAGAATCTCAAAGATGTAATGGGACAGGAAAATTATAGAACTATGAACTTGAGCAAGCTGACTTGACTAAACTAACTAAAGGCCTTTACTGAGTACGAGATAAATTTCCTGCTGATAATTTTTACCTGTGACATATATACATTCATATATTAAATGGATATCGCTGAGTCAAGTGCTGGGTAGGTACAGTTGCTGTAACCCTGCACTAGACTAGCATCGCATTCCATAAAGCGAGGAGTAAAAACACCCCTCTGAGTCATTTCCCACACACAAACTGGAGACATGTGTCCCCCACCCTGAGTCAAACATGACTAGACTTTCCAAGGTTCACCATATCACTGGGAATCAACTGACTGGTGGCCCAACACAGAATCTCTGTTCAACGTAGCACTACTACATCATAAATGGATTTTTGGATTGTTCGTAACAAAAAAAAAAAGAAACCTTTGTAGAACAATAGATATCGAGTCAAGAAGGGTAGGAAGTGTAGAACAGGTTACATTTAAGCCTGTTGGGTGAATTGAGGTGTCAAGTGTTAGTTGTGGTTGAGTTTAATCTACGTGCAGTTTAAATTGAGTGAGATATTAACAATTTCAAATTGAGTGAGCAAAGGTGAAAATTTCTTTCTCTAAAAATGATCAACAAATAACACTACACGAATTTTTTGTTAATATTGCAATGGTCAGCAAAGGTTACATGGATGTTTGCTAACAAACTTTATTTGTAAATTAATCCATTAGTATATTTGAAATTAAATTGTCATTAAAAAACTAATAATGAAATCAAGGTACTTTTAATTTATTGTCAACCTTTTCTGACCTGGAGAAAATATCAAAATAAGTTTTCACTTTACTAAATTGAATACTTAGTGGAACTGAGGTCAAAACCAGCAACACTGTTTTGATTTTTTAAATTATTTCCTGGTTTAAGCTAAATAAAGATAATTATGCGATAAAGTGGTTCTTTTTTTGCATATTTCTAGCAAATTCATTTCTAACAGATAGGTACTAAATCTCTCATTCAGTATGCGCAAGGATCAGACCCAATGAAATTTTTGTCTTATACTTTAAGGAAATATAGAGAGTCAAGCAAAATTTATTGAGGTTTTCTGTCACAAGCAATAATATTTTATGATTTGATTGCTTCAAAAGTAAGAATCATTATGTAAACATAAGACAGTGACTGGGTTTATTTAGAATTTTTCACCAGCAGACAGGAGGAAATCTCTACAAATCAAGACAATGAATATGGAAATGTGCCATAAACAGACATAAATGACTCCAAATATTACCGGTAAATAAGATGTCACAAAAAATGCCATGAACAAAGGTATGTTTGATTCTACAACATATTTGATGTAAATGTTTTGGATTATGATAAAACCATTTTCATTTGAAAATTATATTTACACAAACAGTTTTGAAAAACAAAATGATATTAAAAACATTGTCTCCTTGCGACCATGGTCGACCATGCAATCACATTTCTCTTTGGCTGAAATAATTTTTATTATGTCAGTCATTACAATTTAAATGCTCATCTACAAAGAATTTCACTTTCCAGCATAAAGGCATTTTTTAAAATTAAATTTGGCAGAGTTGAAAACAAAATTAATGTTAAATCTGTAATATATATTTTTGCAGGAAGTAAAGATTTTTAGATACTTATTTCATTTGAAAATAGCTATCGTGAAAGATGAGACTTAAATGTTTTTTATCAGAATGTTTACCACAAAAATGAATCTGTGATAAGTCAATTACTAGACATTTTAAGGCTTTTTAATTAAAAGCAACAAATATTGTTATCAGAATAGATAGCAACAATATTTCTTGTCAGAAAAATAATGAACATTACAATGTGTCCATAAGTCCAATGTTTTTTTCTGAACAGTGATAACATTTATAATCAGTCACTATACAAGAAGATTAAAGCAATATCCACATGCAAAATTTCAACTGAAGAAATAACTCTCAACAGATGTTTCCTTCTGTGACCACAAGTTTTTTAAAACTATCAATTCATATAATAAATAAATGTGCAACACAATTCGGTTTTAATTTTCTTGCCTCATATCACTCACAAAATCTGCTTTAATGCAACAACGTCAATATTTTTCCTTTAAAAAAACTATATCTACTCTGTTAGAATACACACAAAAAAATTGTGTTTGGGTAATCATGGCACTATCAGTTTGTTCATGGTATCTCTCAATTTTTGTGGTTACAATATAATGAATATAAATATTATTTTTTGCATGATCATGATCTTTCCCAAAAGAATTACTTAACAGAGAGATGAAAACCCTCTGGCAGCCAGTTTACAGCCATCTGGTCAATATCTGAGTTTTCTATTCAAGAGAACTGAAGTCGTATTTTCCTGAACTTAATTTCTACAAACAGAGAACCTAGGCATTACAAAATTCAATTAGGAAATGAGTTCACTTTCAATGCAACTAAGTGATACCATTGTAACAGAAATGCGAATAAACACCAATAAATATTGAGCAGTACCACATGAAGTTGTCTTGAAATTCTCAGCATTTTCTCCATATTCATCAAATCACATACAATGTTACTGAAATTGTTTGTATGTATGTTTACATAATATTGCTATAAAGCTTTCAAACTCAAACTCGGTCCCCACTATCTTTGAACTCAATCATGTTTCCTTGCAATGGATAGGCTTTTCAGTAGTTTAACATTGGCTATGAACTTGTTCTTTAGAGAGTCTAAAAAGGCAGCGGGGTTCAACTGTAGTTTCCAGGTAGATATGTTTTGAATCTCCTGATCACTAGGAATTTCAAAACATATTTAAATAAAAGTCTAGTGACCTCAAGGCTAGTAAGTCATGAGACTAACTTCAAACTTTTATCGCAGTCAGATGAGTTACAGCTTGTGCCAGAAAGGTAAGGAAAAATTTGGGCCATCAGTTTCATTTCCAAGAAAAATTGGCACAAGAAATTCAGCAAGGTCTCTGGGGGTTTTACTTACAAAAGATCAAATGAGTCAGTGGAGGAAAACTTAGTCATATTTTGTATATATGCATATCCATAGCAGAAATATTCTAAATGTTGTTATTCTGGTCGTAAAACTTCACCTTTAACTCCTTGAGTCCGTGACCATTGTGTACGCTGTGTGCCACACCATTTTCACTGAAAATGGGTGTCTAGTAAAAAACTTCGAATGCCATATTAAGATTTTTCACTTAAACTACAGACATATACACATTCTCTGAAAGGTCACAAGAGTGTCTCTTCAATTCAGCTAATTTTGCCGAGGTTGATATAATTTCATATCCATATGACATCACAGATATGGGAAATTCAGGTGCACTGGGAGTTTGACTACATGTACATCTATTAAATTTTGATGTACTCAGTACCTCATATATGTACCTGAGGGGCAAAAACCATGACCTACTGAGTACGTCATATAGGCACTCACAGGGATAACAGAGGTATTAGAAGCCATCATACAGCTAGACAGTGACCTCAAAGAAGCATAACTTGATGCTGCATGGGACAAAAATTTCAAACCTCTAATACACAGATTTTTTCACTTAATTTTCTAGAAAACATACAGAAACCATAGAGGAAGTTGTCTTTTGAAAGAAAACTAGCTGACACCAAAGGTCCATGAGCAGAAAATCCACACAAAGCCACCAGCGTGATCGTTGTTCGAGTTATTACTTCACGCACATTCACTGGATGAATGGAAGTAAGGATGTGCACAAACATTTTGGGCAAACATCCACTTTACTGAAAAAGAGTTAGGTTGAGAGAATAACATGAACAAGTGTGTCAAGTTGTCTTCTAGACTGGAGTGGTTTTGTACATCTAAATTATTAATTTTTTTCTGCTGTGGCAGACCCTTAAGACAAATCCACTACAAATACAAGTGATTCACTTATACCAGGCAGTTTTCTAAGGACTGTGGCATTACAGCAAATAAAAATAATCGAGAAACTAAGTGACGAATCTCGCACAGTATTTTTTCAATCCTTGCCCATACGATTCTTCCCACCCCTGACCTTGTTAAGCTCAGGCAACTCCTGAGGGGGTAGCACAAGAGATAATTTTGTTTTATCGCGCTAGACTTGCCATCAACACATATTCAACTACAATCAACTATCAGGCACCAAAATGATAAACACGACATGGTTATGTCGTGATCAAGAAGCAAAACGACAAATTAAGAATACACCGCCATTAATTTTACACTACAAAGTAGTATTGGAAACAAAATCATCTCATAAAATTAATGATGACATGTTAGCTATATATGAACAATATTACTATATTTGTTTCACATGCTAGATCTTGCAAAAAAAAATGCACCATAGGTTTTCTCAATTTTTACAATCTTGACCAAAAAACCGGATTTGACCAAGACAAAACATCTGTGTTTTTTTTACAACAGTAATCGTCTTCCTATAGGTTTTCTTCAATCTCAAAAGAATTTTGAACTACAAATACTGATAAACTATCATAATATTATTCCAATATTGCTTGATCACTAAAATAATAAATTGATATTATAGCCCCTTTAATCGGCAGTGCCAAAAATAATTATTCGCACCTTACAAAAATTATAAATACTTACCTTCATATCCCTTATCATCTCTTCCAAAGACCTCATCATCATCTGTATTCATGGGTCCTAGTGGCTTCGGTGAATCTAATGTGCGTGACCGTCTTTCAGTTTTGTTACGGCGAGGAGGCCTGACTGGAGGAGGGGTGCTGTCCCCCACCGGCTGCTTGGATGATTCCACACTAGGAAGACTCAGGGAAGCTCCCTCACTGGGTCTGGCCTCGCTAGAATCACAAGATGCATTGTCTTCTTGCTCTGATGAATCAGCTGACTGCATCTCAGAGGCTGCTACGTCTATAGCCCATGGACTGACGCAGGAGTCTGCGCTCATCAAACTAACATTGCCAGCAGAGAGCACTGAATCCAGTTGTCTTCTTGATCGGAGGGGTTTTCGAGGCCTTATGACCCCGCCAAATAACATAAAATCATCTAACTCAGAAGCATGGGGCGATTCCCCTTCCAGTTCATCACTACTAACAACTTCGATCCCTTCTAAGTAGGATATGAGTTCATCAACAACTTCAATAATAACGTCGGGTGATTCTTCGATTGTTCCCTCCTCGCACCTGTCTTCCTGAGAGTTCATGCCTTTCTTTTCAACAGCATTGTTGTCTGAGGTTCCCTGTCTAGTAAAGTCAACAAGTTCACGATCGACCCGACAACTCGCTGCCAAACACCCTTCGCTGTCAGCTGCCTTGCTTTCTTGATTTGCCGCACAAATATCGTCCGACGACTTCACATGAACTTCAGCATCGTCATTGTCTAACAAAACTTCACTATCGAGTTTCTCAAAAGTTTTACTTTCTGAATGATTCAACAAATCTACATCATCGCCACTTGTCGTGCTTTCATGCGAGTCGCTTCGTTTGTGTTTTGGGCCAGACGAACGCGCTAAATGTCTCTTTCCTTTCAGTCTGGCTTTGTTTATTCCCTTGGCCAAAGGTGAGAAAACGGTGGCAAATGTTCGATTTCTTAAACCAGCTGGTTTCTCGCCTTCAGGAGAATTTAACTCGTGCGATTCGTCTTCCATTTCTTCAATTTCTTCCTCCTCAGCAGAACCCGTGGGGATTCTCTCATCATTTGTCCTTGTTAGCCTGACATCGTTTTCACTTCCCTTTTCCGTATTGTTATTGGCGGAGAGTTTATTACCCTCTGCTATATTAATATCATCAAGCAACAAGCTTTTCTCTTCACCGAATTCATTATTCTCCTCACTAAATAATTTACCAGACGCTGCCCCAGAGTTCCCCTGTTTGTTATTGAAACCAAACTCCAGTTTCACCTTTTCACTTCCGTCCACATTGAGCTCTAACTCGTCAGGAGGAAATCCCGCTTTAGTCTCGTTGCTAATTGGCTTGGACTCCTCATTTAAGTTGCAAACATTTAATAAATTACTGTCTTCGCTCTTTAGCAAACACACTTCTGTCAAATTGTGAAATTCCGATCCTTCGCCGCCTATCTGTATGACAACGACCGAAGAGTCGTCGACCATGTCCTGTTCGTGCCAATTCGTCGAAGGCTGATTTAACGTGCTTGGAAAGAAAAGGTTTACTACTTTGTCGAGCTCTGAATCGCTGTTTCTCGTATCTGAAACATTCAGAACTTCTGTAAGCCATTTTAAAATGAATCCCTCTCGTTTTACCTCGTTTATAGCGTTGTCAAGCCTTTCCTTGCACAAGTTGAACCGCTCTAAAACATGTTCATTTGATGAATCGCTACCACAACCACAAAATTGCAAAAAGTCTGTATCGGGAAGTTTTGCTGTTGGAAAAACGTTCCTCCAAGCAGTCAAAAAGGCTTCTCTCTTATCCATAGTTTCGTGCTGTTCTGTAAAGCTCATATCGTTATTCATTTGTGCAGAGAACACATCCTTCTTGACGGAGTACACTTTGTTTCTACCCGAGGTTGGGCGAAGTCGTCCGAAGCTGGTCACGAGCAAGCGTGACGTAATCTTCGTCACGTCTTTCCCAGCTAAAACAGGAACACAGGAAGTCACATAAATTTTGGAGAACCGGAAGTTACGCGACGAATAAAAACCTCAAGCTTTCAAAAGTGCTTTTTGTAATTTCCGCGGTGAAACGAACAGGAACCCATACACGGAGTGGAGTTGTTTGGACTCTGAATATATTTGCCTCGAGAGAATGTTACAAACGAGGTAAGTTAAGAACAAAATCAAAGCATAAAAAATAGCTTCCCAAAACACATTTCACTTGTCACGTTCGATTCAAAACACCATTGACTTCAAGGTTGTTTTACTTTTAGCTCAGTGAACATTTCGTAATGCTAAATCATGGCCAGGAGGAATGCGTGTCTATTATTTGATATTTTCCCTTTGAAGCCAAAGTAAGAACGCGTGAAATTCCAAACATTTCAAAGTGAAAAAACTGCAGTCAATTAACAACTCTTTTCGCTCACCTAGATCGTCTCTTGTCCAGAACTGATATTTCAGTCGTGTCTAAAGTCACACATTAGCAAGTAATTAGAAGTGACCTTGAACGAACTCTTCCGAAAATTCCACGAAAATTGCTCTGCAATCGTGGTGTACACTGCGCTCACATGCTCTGAAACGAAATAATAGCTTACGTCAATGGTCGATTAGTAAACAAGGAAAATGTACTGTTCCAATAGGCAAAAATTTTTGTTAACAAATCAAAATTCATGTGGGTCTGATCATCATACATTTCTGCTCCACGTTTGATCAGCAACAACAACAATATATCTGCAACACCTTAAAAGTTCTATGTTCATTCAGTCTTCGACTACTGGGGCTCTCGGAATCTGTCGAAAATCAGTAGAAAATCAAGTGAGTGGAACAGGAGCCAAATATTTCTCAAGCTCGCAGCTATGCCATCTGTGATCGTCTGTGATAGCGCTGGGTCATCAGTGTACTGATGTACCACACACATGGCCCCACAATATGACGTCATCACACGTTATGTTTACGAAGGCGGACCCAAACACTCGAATAAGTTTGAGAATGCTCGAAACCGTCGCTTGTCTCAAACAGTTATTGATATCAAATGTTGCAAAACACCAGTCAATGTACACATCTGCGAGAAGTTCTCTGAACATGCTTTAGAGAATAGCTTATGAAAAGCACGCGTTCTGATTGGCTAAAAATTGTTTCAATAAAATCTTGTAGAACCATGGAGAATGCAGTCTGTGAGCTATTGAGAAAACATTTCAGTTATTATAACGCTAAGAACAAATCCTGACTACCCTAACACGATACTTTCAATGTGACAAGTTTATTGGGGATGTGCCCTTCAGTCATCATGCCTTCAGTATATTTATTACCCACTTAAAAATTCGTGGTCACTCAACCGCCAAAAATCGGTTTGGATCCCCTTTTCTGACGGACAATTTGAATTGAAGGACGCAAAAATAAGCTTAGTCCAATCTCATTTGCGGAAGGAAGCTGTTGACAATTACTTCTGTAATTGCCCTGTGGGAAAAATGGTGGGCGTGATTTAAATAGATTTGCATGCATGAGCCCGCTATATCAGTGGTGGTTGCTTAGCAACAAGACAATAGTAACAAGCTGTACTGCGTGGTCATACATCAACCTACTCTCTCTTGACTTTTAGCAGCAAGGCCGCGTCAAGACAAAGAGTAATACAAGAGTACAGAAAAGTCTCGTAATCACGGGATGACAGTGAGAAATATATTTGGGGCTAGTCAACTCATGGGCGTCGCAGATTTGACAAAAAGTGCAGTCATTGCTTTCATTGACCAACGATTCGAATGTTGGGGCATGGTTAGAAACAGGAAGATAAAATAAATTACTTCCGTGTTTTTATCTAAATAAGAGTTTGTGTTAAATCGAGCCGAACCTAACGGCCAGCTTCCCCATAAGGCCACCTCTGTACAGCAGCCACATGTTATCGTCCCAGTTGGGAGATTTGCTCTTATTTTAACCTCCCAACAATGGCTACCTCTCCACATTGGCCAGTAAACTCTGTACCCTGGGTGGCCGTTGTAGAAAGGTATGACCGGCTGTATATGCAGGATTCAACACTTTCATTTAACCCGAATTAGCCAACTTGACGGTCGTCACGCAGTACTTCCAGGATTGCGTGATAAACTCAAAGAAAGTCTCCGACAAAATTTCACACAGATCAACAAACGTCTGAAACAGATGAAATAAAATCTTTATTGCCTACTTTTATAATTCAAATTCATTGGCTTAAAATATTTACATACACATTACAGCATCTTAAACCATTAAGTCCTGTAAGGAAATTTATCGTGAAAAGTCGCAACAACAGTACATATAGTACCCGCATCCAAAAAGACAACATGCACGACCCCCGTTACTATGTACAAATCAAGGAATCAACCCTCAGAGGATAATGAAGACATGCTACGACACAAGTACAAGATTTCTAATACACTTAAATATGCAAGATCCTCTTAACAGTAAATTGTTTAAAAATGGTCTCTTTAAAACTAATTCTCGATAAAAACAAGCACAGAAAGATGATTCAACAACCCATAAGTTTCATCTCATTCGTAATTTGAGAGTTCTTTTCTGTTTTATCTTTTTTGTTCAAGGGAGTGGAGGGGGGGGGGNTGGGTAAACTACAGTAGGAAAAATTGCTAACATGATCCGAGAGTCAACTAGACTTCTCTTTTAATTTTAATATTTACAGGACTAAGAAAGATTTTCACTGTGAAGTCCTGATGCCAACAAAAAAAAATCCTTACTTTCCTTCATAATTATTTTTTAAGAAAAAGTTGGCATGGGAAAAATTTGATCATATATTAAGACACTATCCTTTTGATGATCAGTTGATTGATTCTCCTGGCCTGAATGCTTCACTTTGTAATGATGTTGTAAGGAGAAATTGCATGATGATCACTAATCCAGTTGAACATTTTGCAGTCACACCCTTGGTGTAGCCAATGCCAATTTTTGAAGAAATTTTATTCAACGATTTGCACAAAAAAAAGGCAACACTGTTATATTTTCAAACGAAGTCCAACATCAAGCAAATCTGGGCCAGTCAACAATCAAAACGGTTGACAAAGAAATGAATTGAATTTCACATAGTTCAACATTGACAAGGAATTTTCTCTCTGCTACTGTACAAAAATAGACAACATACATCTGATGCAAGTCGTGTCACCTTTTTTTAAAAAAAAAAAACACAACTGATTCATTTAGGAGCGACTTGCATTAGGTTTTCTTGAAATATATTAGTTAAAATTACATGAATAAGCTTTCCCATACGGTCACTTCAATGCATCTCCAAAACAACCATCGAGGCACGTATCTTAATAAAGTGCAGCACCTCGATGAGTAGGTCTGCCACCAAACCCCCTCCACCCCGGACCGTGCTAGACTTCTGAATGAGGACTGCTGACAAGGAACTTCCACCCTGGCGACTTCCGCCTCGAGGCACGAAAGCGATGAAGAGGTTCCAAACACATATCCGAAGTCCAATAACATCACACAACACTACAATCTCCTCATAATACAACAATCACTCAGTGTTTGATACATGAAGAAGTCTTCAATCGGAAGTTTATTTCCTCCTTGCTGTTCTCGACCAAGGAAATCTGTGACCAAAACTCCGCGTTACGTCATGACGTGACAAAAAGAACCACAATTACGGTAACGCAATTTAAGTGTCGCGTGCTCCTTGATTTGTCAATAAACACAAAAGCATTCTCTGAGAGGCCACGTCACTGGCGAATTCCCGCGCGGATACCGCGCAAAAAGACAAGACACGCGCGATCGTCTCGTGGACCAGACGCCGACGAACCACGCTCGATAAATTCCGTATAGACTTTGAAAAATGTTAATATTTCTCTCATATATCCGTCGCCGAGGATATATCCGCCAGCGAGCAAATCACTGTCATTGATACTGCTGTGTACTTTATATTCTAGATTGGAAATGACTGCTGTCTGTTGCAGACCCGCTATACTCGCATGGGACCCGCACTAACATGTAGTCTCGCCTCGTCATTGCTCGGCTGTTGAACCACCGTGCCGTTGTTCTCCGTGCTTCTTGAACTGGTCGTGCTTGATGTACTCACGTTACTGATGCTGCTGGTGCTCCTGTGTTTCAGCGAGAATGTGTTCGGTCCCGCTCCGGAGTTCGAGTTGGTGTCAAAATCCTCCAGCTCTCTCGCGTGTTTCAGTTCTAGTTCCTCCTGTCTCTGAGCTCGGATGTCCTGCAGGCGTGTGGTTTCTTGAAACATCTACAAAAAACAAACAAAAATTCACAAACAATCCTCTAATTTATCACAAGTAAATTCACCTATACAGGCAGACTAGAAGTGCGTAGTTTTAAACAGCTCTGGACAAATTAGTCACAGGATTTCACACATGAAGTATCTCCACATATCAATATAGTAACTCAGGGTATGACGCAAGGCCTCTGGCGAATGAACCAATGTGGTTTGGAACAGGGCTTTAAGTCGCGAAACTCGTTCGTGCCTCTAAACCCTTTGTCAACGACTATGGGGACGCTATCTACCCGCCATATGGGACAAACTGCTAAGAACTAACGAATATGGATTTGTGTTTGGTGATCCCAGATTCAATTCCTCAAAGCTTTGTAAATAGCCAACTGGTCTGCCTCCCGCCAGCTGGGATTTTTAACAAATTGCTGTTCTCAGGGTTTGTACCCTTTTTCAGAAACAAATTTCCAGTACTTTTCCAGGACTTTTCCAGGACTCTAAAATTTACAATAACCCTTTCACTCCCAAGATCTCAATGTTAATTCTCCTTACTGTCTGCCATACATTTCATATTTTTTTACTTGAGTTTGACAGATTTCCAGAACTTTCCAGGACCAGTAGCCCTTTTCCAGGACTTTCCAGTCCTGGAAAATGCGACAGTAATATTCCAGGACTTTCCAGGTTTTCCAGGACCCGTACGAACCCTGTGTTCTGTTTACAATATTTGTTTGCTCATTTCAGTGTCCTCGATTAGTACAGTAGTGTTCAAGACTGACACTTGAATAAAGTGAGTTATTTTATTTAATACTGTTCGCGAAACGACGTATGACGTCCACCTCGACCATCATTAAGTGATCAAGGCCTCAAAAGAGGACGAAATCTAGTGAGACTTGCCCACGGCTCTGTAGTTCACGCTCTGATTTGCCTTGTTAGCCCACTAACTTGTGCTTGCCGTGGACCGAGGCCACGCTATGATTCAACCTCTTGTTTCCATTAAATATTTACAAATTCCGTCATCCTGCTGCTCGTTCAATTTTGGATCCAAATATTTTCGAATTGGACCGCAGGTAGTTCCACTGCATGTAACACTGCAAGTTGAGATAGTACATGAGGTACCTTTTCTTCCAAGAGAGCCCTTCTGACGGAGACCTTATCCTGAAGGTCCGTTTCCTCGCGTTCGTGCTGAGCTCTAAGCTGCATGGTCTGTTTGCTCTGATAGGCACTCAGTAATTGCTCCTCCTGTTGAAGCTTGATTCGCAGCACTTCTTGTTCTCTTACTTGGCTTTCGTCCAACTTTAACTAAGGATCGATAGCAAACAAAACAGAAATTTTACGAGGGCGTAAAAGGTTACGATGATAAACAGAGTATCTATAGTGCCTGCATTAACAGATGGGCATAAGAAAGAAGCTATTTATCAGCTTGAACCTCATAAAGATTAACCGTATCAAGTGAAAGAAGACGTTTCAAGCTTCGTCAGAACGAAATCTGACGAAGGACTAACAATTGAAACGTAGCCTTCACCAACTTGCTACAGCTTATCAGCTTCATACTGATAAATAGCTCGCCGGCGCAGCCCAAACAGTTTCTTTAGAGACTAATAACATTTTCCATAAACCGACACTAAACTCCTAACCGTTTGTCTTTGCAGCATTTCAGAAATGCTCTGATCGTACTGTACGGAGAGATCCGCCATCTTTCTCATCTTCTCCTCGCGTAACTGCTTGGTGAGTTCCTTGTGCCGTTCTTTTGGTGCCTTCTCTAGGATCTGCTTCTGAAGAGCTTTGTACTGCAGAGTTTGCGTCTTGAGCGCGTTCCTGTATTGTTTCTTGATGTGCATTTCTCGGGCCTGAAAGAGGTCAAACTACATCGTCAGCACGTGCATAGCACACGGGAGTGACAGATCAGTAAGTAAGGATTCCTTCACTCTGAGTAGCTCGCGGATTTCGTGCGCGTGTGCGTTGTTTCGGCGGCGGAGTTTAACGCAAGCGACAAAACCGCGAAGAGATTGGGGGATTCTCGCCTCGTCAGCTAAGCAGTCTATGACTGAGTTCATTTTACTGAAGAGCTATGACAACGCCTGGAGAACCTACCCGTAAGCCTAGAATAATATTGATCTGATGTCAAAGTTGTGGGTTCAAGTCCCAATGGAATCAATACAGATCCGGCAATCTTAATTTTCATTTCCCGTAGTCCAGGCGTAGTCCAGCAGCATTGCTTTCAGGCACTCTCACACACACCATATTCTGCATAGGCGGTAGCAATTATTTTTACGTCAAACCGTTCGGAGCTTCACATGTCAGCTTGTGGTACTATTTTCTTAGGCCTGTGTAAGCGGGGACATACGGTGATTTAGCCAAAAAAGTAGTCTTTTCTTATTTTATCCGGGATAGTCGAGCGCGTGCGAACATCACATCGAACAAGGAACGTGACGCGCCATGCGTCCAGTCGCGCGAGGTGATTTTCGCGCTCGTTGCGTGCTCACCTTCTAGACTAACCCTAACCACATATTATACCTTACGAGACTACTTTACCTTTAGTGTCTTCGGCTGCATTTTCAGTTCAAACAGATGTTTCTTTCTGAGCTCCATCTCTAATCTCTTGTTATAATCGACTTGGCTGGTATATTCCGTCTGGTGCTGATTCTGTTGCTGGTCTCTTCTCAATCTGTGCACCGCATTCAAGTGTCTGAACTCTAGATCTTGTGTGCACTCGTGATGCCTGATCAGCATACTGTGCGATAGTTCATTCTGACTCTCCAGCATGTTCATCTCCTGTACAAAATGCGTGTTAACTGGTGAGATACTTGTTGGAGTGTAGGGCAATATTTGCTAACAATAATGGTTTTGATCTCCTCACTGGCGCAAATTTACCGCAAACTAAATTTAGCCAAGCAAACATAGACACGAAAAACGCCAGAGCAAAATTCGGAGTTTCCATTGTTTCCCGAATTACATTGTAAACAGTTTTAATTTTATGTAGCTAAGATATATTTTAAGGTGTAAATGGTGTCCCCAATTAGATTTTTACAGCTAAATACCTTTGACACTTAAAAAGAGTCTTTCATCCATTCGTTCAATCATACATTCAGAGACCCATACCAAACCCATTATAATGATTGAACGAATTCAAGCTCTGTCACGACATTTCGAGTTATTTTGGCCGCGTACAAAGATACTTTGAAATAGAAGGGATCCTGAAAATAGTCGTTTACTAGGATAGAAAAACTCCAACGAGATAATAACAATAATAAACCCTGAATAAACCATAATGAAACAAGGATAGTTAAGGATGGAGAAGATTAACACGGATTACAAACGACGAACTTGAGAAATTTAGGCTTAACTTTTCAAATTGCGCAAACCGCGACGTAGCTCCTTTAATCATCCTCACCTCAGTAAGTAACACTTTTTCCAAGTTCTGCCGTTGTAGGAGTTGTTCTCGGCGAAACTTTCTGAGTTCAGCATTGCGCACAATGTCATGTTCATGCATCTTTTCTCGCAGAGCGTTTTCCTGGGCGGCGTGTAACGAGTTTTTCCTTCCCTGGTAGGACGAACGGTTGCTCTGGTCCTGCAATAGAAAATAAGACGCGCACTTTGATTAGTTAAAAGCAGAGATACAATATGTGTCCTATGATTGGCAGAAGCAAAGAGAGATCACATCGCGATGGCGATCTACATGTCGATAAACAACCGACTCTATTTTGTGTTTGGAGACGAGATTTTAACATCACTGAGTTTGACACCCCGAGTGAAAGTCAAAGCAGGAGAACAAACCTTTTTGAACTGGTTCTTGGCAGCTTTGTAAGCCGCCTTCTGATCAGAAAGAAACATTTTCATGTCGTTGTCATGCTTGTCTTTGATGTGTTTAAGCAGTCGCTTCTCATCTGCTGACATCTGTTTCAGCTTTTGTTCCATTTCAGTCTTTTGCCTGGTCCTCAGTTTTTCCAAGTCCTTTTCAAACTGGTGCACCTGAAAAAACGACAAACAAAATTAACAAAGACAGTACTGAAATACAAACACCACGTCGTAAAAAAAAAAACAGATTATCACGTGTAAAGTTCAGCTGAAAGGTCGCACACTAAGGGTTTTATCTACGAACAAAGTTACAAAACAATTAAGGAGCTTATAAGCAGTACCAACAGAAAGAAACATTGAATAACTTTCACTTAAATGATCAAACACGGGGGTTTTCTCTACAGTCTTAAAAGTAAGAACCCTTTTGGAATGCGTAATAAACAGTGCCATGTGAAATTACTGCTCCGTAACTTTCATTTGAATGGTTACACACTGGGTTTGTAACCATACTACCAAACGAAAGTGCTGCACAACAGGTTTCATTTAAGTAGTCTCATACGAAGGTTTCATTCTATAAATTTACAGTATGCACACACGACGCCACGTTTTCTTGACAATTTACAATGTTTTTTTTTCAAAGAGGGCTCCTTGGATAAAACATAACCATCCAAGTTTGCACACACTGCAAAAGTATTAGTCTAGAAGTTAGGATCCGAACGAAAAAACAAATTTGCACAAGCTACTCTACAGAAAAGGTTTGACAGTTTGACAGTTTGACAGCGCATTGTAAGGCCTACCTTGTGTGGAAAAACAGACAAACAAAATAAACAAAACAAATAAGCAGACAACAACTCAATGTACCTGTTGGTCGTATTCCCTGTCGAGATTCCTGCGGTGGTCGTTCATCTCCAGCTGTAGTCTGCCCTCCAGTATGCGCACTTCCTTCTGATGATTCTGCCGCAGTTTCTTGTACACCTCCAGCTGGTCTCTCATCTCATCTCCCTGCCTGTTGTGTTCCTGATGCTGCCTAGCAATCAGGTTTTGAGGCCGGATGGTGGCAAACCTGTCGTCATCTTCACGGTGGTGCTGTTGCAACTAAAATGAAAGGAATGAAAAATTATTTATTGACAAATGATCAGGTAAAAAAACAACAACAATAATTTTATTTACTCATTCATTTACAGTTTTATAAGAAAAAATATATAAATAGAAGGGCAGAAAAAGAATGTACATTTGAGTCTGGAGATTGAAGTAACCCAAACGCTTTCTAGTCAGTTTCCAGTTATTGTAAGGTTTCTATGGATATTGAGAGAATACAGAACCGTTAAGACAAGATATGTATGTGTACATGGTATAATAGAATGGAGGAAACCACTACAAGTTTTCATAATGTTGTTCAGACAGTAAGTAAAATTTCAGTTGTTTAAAGAAGTTGAAGGCACTGAGATCTTAAAGGTGAGTGGGGATATTGTCCCAGAGAATAGTCGCTGTGTAAGCTATTGTTTGTTTTCCAGAATTGGTACATAACAACATGCTGGTAAGTCACTATTGATAGAATGGCCTGCCTAGACTAGCACTAGCTATCTGCAGGCCAGTCCAACTGTTAAGTGTAACTGATTAAGAAATAAAATGATTGACTGTATTTGAGTTTTTTATGCTTACACTGATAGAGGAAACTTCAAAGGATGAACTTCCAGGGGTAGCTGCCTCACTGTCTTGTTCAACTCCTTGCAAGCTGTCTGTACTGCTAGCCACACTGGCTGTACTACTCACACTTGCCTTCTTGGTTTTGTCAAGCTCGGCACTCTAAAATGGAGATATAGAAGGTAAAGTCTGAGTGGGCCACGTGGTCAATACCACCAGGTTTATCCTGGTTTTCATAGTGTTTAAGCAACTAGGAGCATATCTTCTCCCCCCTGGATGGGATGTTACTACATCACAGGGTTAGCCCCAGTGTTACATTCACAAGTATCCATTTTTACACCCGATAGGAGAGAGGCACAGTGAGAGTAATGTGCCTTGCCCAAGGTCGATAATTGACAATTACTGTGAAGGAGATTCAACTGTATTTAGCTAATGCAACCACCAATTGAATCAATGGATAATTTTTATTCAGCTTAGAGCTGATGCTTAAAATATTGTTAAAGTTTAGCTGTCATTTTAAAATTTTTAATATTATGTAAAACATGCAAGAAAAGTGAGGAAAATGAGAAAAAGAAAGGAACGTTGAGTGATATAAGAATGAAGTGACTGATAAGATAGTGAGGTTCAACGATTCACAAAGATGTGAAAAATGAACGATAGTTATTTCTTTGCTATTGATGAGTAAAGAACAATGTAGGCAATATAAAATAGCAATAAGGTGACTGAGTGGAGACAATTTATTATGTACAAGTATGAATAGAGGCTGAACATTTTGGACGACATATAAGTGATATTGACAAAGCCCTCTCACACGAACATGTACTAAGTAATCATAAAGTTCTATATAAAAATTTGACAAGAAAAAAGTAATTAAGGGGTACACTGTAACGTTTTGGTGAATAAAGGGAAGACAACAGATGAGTAAGACACCCAATTAATGTGGAACTGTCCAGTTACAGTGCACCTAAATAACATACACTGTTGAATACCACAAGTATGATACATAGATTTATAATTCCCCTAGTATAGATTTTACACAGTTTTAGGAGAAGCTAGTTAAAGATTAAAGATTGAAGACTTTCCAATTACACACAGGTGTGACACATATAAACTGACAAGAAGTAAATATTGACACATTAACAGACAATAAATAATTATAACACCTGCTATTAGCCAATATGGTTCAAGAATTTTGTTATAGTCCAGATTAAGAAACCTTATCCATGCACCGGCTGCTTAATTTCTTAATGACAGTATACCCAGAAAAAAATGTTAGCAATTGATAATGATGACGACAACGACAATGATAGTGATAGTGATTTTAAAATAGTACGAGGTTTGGATGCGCATGCAACAGATGTGCAGACAGAACCTGTGCAGATCTGAAGTGAAGAAATGATGATGATGAAGATAAGGAGTCTTCAGAAAAGGCCAAGCTGTCCTCAGATGCTGTAGGCCCGTCCCCTTCTTCCAACACCCCATCAAAGTTTACATGGCATGCTGACGTGGGAACAATGAATACAGACTGAAGTGCAGATAAGAGAGAAAGAAAAGAAGACCTTTAGCAAGCCGAAGGGCAAGATCTCCACATAAAAATTCTCCTTACCAACTTCCATGCATGGCTATATCATTAGTGGGGAGAATATTAATCTGATTAAGTCAATCATTGTAACCAGGCTTTTAGCCAGAATTTGAAAAGTAGATACCCAAAACACGATAAATTATTTCTAAAGCAACATGTACAAAATAAAACAATTTTCCTTAAAATGTGGTCATCCACAGGATGCCTGGACAACCATCTGGCTAAAAGCCTGAGAATAACAGTAATGTTGTATTTGCCAACAATTATACAACAACTACCTATCTATATACATGTACAAGTTCACTTTGATTAGCAGAAAAGATTTCATGTTGTTTAATTTACAGGGCTGCAATGATACAATTCCTCACGATACCATACATTTCTCGATACAAGTGAAAAGATACGATACGATACATAATTACAAACAACTGATAGGCGAAGACGAGCTGCGAGGAACGGACAAACCATGTGTTTTGTCCATGGGCAAACAAGACTGTGTCAGCTGACAATTAATTGGAACTGTACATGCTTTTGTTCTGCCGTCTTCAAAGATACGTGACCAGACGTATGCAAAGCAATACAAAGCAAGGATGGAACTTTTTTCCCTTTCCCAGGTCCCTTTGTTTAATAAATAGCTCTGAAAGGGCTTGGACTTGGGGAAGGAATCATAAAAGACACAATCACAATATCATAATATTGCAATATCTTGTCATAATATCTATATTCATATCGTGGCAAAAAATATCGCGATTCATCGGTGCATCGGTGTATCATTGCAGCACTATCAATTTAACAACTCTTAAAGTCATGTAAACCCTACAATTAATTTCTTTTTAATGTTAAATCGTATGCCACAAATTTAAGACTCGTTGATAACCTCTGCCATATTAGTTTGCAAGTTATACTCACCTTACCTTAGGGAAATCATTTTACAGTAATTACATTTCACCAAAAAGAACTTACAATATTGCAAAGTGATATAGGCACATTTTTTTTTTCTTTTTCACGTAGTAATGCGACACAACATGAATTCGCAAGTCAGGCGGTGAATGTCCTTTGAATGAAACACACTTACATGTACCACATCTTATAGTCATAAAATTGTTTGCTTTAAATTTACTAGACCTAAATTTAGCTGCAATGGGGTAGTGGATTTGTGGAACACTTTACTGTTGGATGTCTGTTTAGCATCAAGTGTTAAAATCACTAAGTCTGGTTAAGGTATTTACTAGTTTGTGGGTGTCTTTATTTACATTTTAATATGTACCGGTACATAAATAATACTTTTCTTCAAATGTATCTTGTATTTAGAAATCAAGGTGATCTGTCCAAGAAGGGGTTTCTTTATTTAATTACAGATCATCTTTACATCTTTTTGGGAGAGCAGCTGTGGCACAGTGGCGAGAGCGCCCGCCTCTCACCAATGCGGCCCGGGTTCAAATCCTGGGCCCGGTGTCATAAGTGGGTTGAGTTTGCTGTTGGTTCTTGTCCTTGCTCTGAGGGTTTTTCTCTGGGTTTTCCAGTTTTCCTCACAAAAGTCAACATTAATTTTTCTAAATTCCAATTTGATCGGGAATTCAAGGGCCACAGGTTTGTCAGTTGTAAGACTGTTGTGTGTCACCCTTGTTAAACAAAGTTAATTCATTAATTAATTAATTCATTTATTTATTTATTCGTTTATTTATTTATTTACTACTTATTTTGTTCGCTATTGTTTGTTCAGCTTTTCCTCTTTTTCTGTTGTTTTTATTCCTATGCCATTACATTGTTAGCTTCTCCTTTGACAAGTGTTCAGCAATGTGCTTGGTTTCTCAAATGATACTGTATTTCCAGTTGGGGTAGACACAAACAGAAACACCTGCATATAAATCCAAAAAGTACAATAAAAAAATACATACCGCCTCTGACTTATCATCATCATCTTCAGTCTCAGCTATCGAGCTATCACCTTCTTCATTTACTTCTCCGCTAGGATCACCCATTATCATCTTCTTCATTTTGCGGTAATTCATGTTGTCCAGAGCTCTTACAGCTTGTTTTGTTCTCTCAATCAGCTCCAGGATGATTCCCTCAGGACGTGGTTGTGATACAAATGGATGCTAATGTTAAAACAATAACACAAGTGGGTTTAATGGTTGATTTACTGTATTTACTTACCCAACAAATTCTCCTAACAAGCACACCAAGAAAAGCTTAGGGATCAGTAACGAGAATTTGTTTATTAATAATGGATGTAAATTGACCTGCTCTCATTTACTACTTACCTGAAGTAGATCCTCAGCTGTGGGTCTGTTGGCTGGCTGTTTCCTCAGGCATAGCTGCACAAACTCCACAAAACATGCAGACCTTGCATTGCAGAAACAAAATACATCAGTTATGTTACCTTTAAAATAATCAGACGTTTGTCTATCAAAACAAATCTGCACTTTATCAGCTTACCAGCTGTCTGGAGTGGTCAGCATTGGAGGATCATTCTGTGCAATATGGTAGAGAGCACTCATTGCATTCATGTTAAACAGTGGAGGCTTTCTTTCAGCTGCAAGAAAAATTTTGTTTAGGTCTATTAACACCCAGAGTACCGTAAAATTCCCCCTTAAAGCCCTGGGCTTACATAACTTCATGAGGGATTTTAGGTTGGCTTACAGTACAAATGGGGGGGGGGAAATCTTATATCTGGGGAGGGGGCATATAAGTGGAATAAAGAAATGTTTTGGAACGATGCGATAAAATGTATCTGAGAAACAAATTAAACATATCATTACATTTAGAGCTATTACCCTATTACCCTTTTACCCAATTACCCCACTAACCTATAACTTTCAATTAAAAATTTTGATGTTTGTAGAGAAATGCAAAAGGAAAGCACTTATAATGCATCAGATGGGCTTATATCTGGGGGGCTTCTATCCGGGAGGATATTGACATGGGAATTTACGGTATATTTATAACGCAATTTGGGAGTATCCATGATTTGCAGGCAAGAAAAAGGGTTCACATTGTATTGATCTGATTACCAGGGTATCAGCATTACCTTTGGGTGTACGTGTAGATAAACAAAATTTGCAGCAAGTCCTTCTGGACAGACAACTCAAGGCACAGATGCATCTAATATGAGTCACTACTAATTACATTTGTACAGTGGTACTGCAAAGCATTGTACCCAATCTGCTTTGCAGGAAATTCACAAACTTTAGAATCATCTTTTGAATTCTGGCTGAATTGCTCCACACAGTGCAAATACTCAAAACAAGAGAAAAACTCACCCAGTTCAACACATGTGATTCCTAAGGACCACACATCCACCTGTGGGCACAAAGCATGCATTAAGATTGGTCTGCAGGAATTACTAGAAAATGGGTGCTGCAAACTATCTTCACTACTTACAAGCACCAAAACATGTTTTGATTTATATATGTGTGTAGTTCAAGTAAATTAATACTGATGGTAAAACTGCAGGCAGTATGGAATACTTTACCAGAAGTGAAATTTTGAATTTACATGCAATTTCCACCACAGTATGCTCAATCTTTCTACTATTTCAAATACAAAATTTGTCATCAAGTACACATGACACACCTTTCCATCATACTGTCCTTCATCCATAGCCAAGATGACTTCAGGAGCCATCCTAGGAAAGAACCAAACACATGATAAATATTCATTATGAAGTAAAATGTACTGTACATGTAGCTCTGATGACTGTTTGTAGCTTTATTACTGTTCAAAGTAATTTTGTAGGAACAAGGCTGAGAACAACAGGGGTTTCAACAAGAGCCGGCAACTGGCAAAATGTGCCATCATCTATGTCTAGCAAAATGCACTTAAATTTACTGCCTACTTTTTCAGAAATTAGCAATATTTTAGTAGAAGTTGAACTTCCATTGGCCAGCAGTTATGACCAGCAGTTATGGCCACCAGCTAAAAAACATACTGAAAACCCTGCAGAACCCTTGCCTGCCACCCAGTTTCTCTCTAAGTACAGAAGCAAAACCAAAAAGTCTCTCACCAGTATGGTGTCCCCACAAAAGAATTGGCTGGAGCAGCAAGAGCAGCTGAGCCAAAATCCGCTGAAGAGGAAAGAATAGAGTTGTTTAAAATAAGATATACCAAAAAAAATTATTCACAATAAAAGATCTAGTCAGGGCTGTCAGTGAGTTAAGAGTCAGCTAGCATACTCAATGTAACAGGTGTTACGGGTTATGACCCAAGTTAAAGTCATCATCATCGTTAACTTGATTACCCTCAAATTTACAGAGCAGCATTGCTGCTAATTTGTAAATATCAAACATTTGTGAATACAGATCTTGTTGTTTCAATTCTCAGAGGAATAAATTTTGACTTACACCATCATGTGATGAAGCCACATTTTTCATACAATTTGCTTATTATAGGGTTACTGCCTGATCCTTTCATTGTCATTCTTGAATATCCCAGTAAAAACACATGATGGAGAAGTTAAGTACAACCAATCAAAGGAAAAATAATGTACAAGGAAACATCCCAAAGCCTTACCTAGTTTAACGGTTCCATCCTCAGTCAATAGAACATTTCCAGCTGGAGAAAAGAGAAAAAAGATCAAAACCTTCCAGTTACCAAAAAAAAAAAAAAACACTGCAACTCATGAAACAAATATCAATGACAAAGCACCTGCAAGAACTTACCTTTGACATCTCTATGAATTCGTCCATTTCTGTGTAAATATCTAAGTCCCTGTACAGAGCAAGAAAAGCATGATCACATTTTCAGTATCTCAGGATGAAGTCGTCAGAGCTGTAACTGACACTAAAGGAGTTTGTGAAGATTTTTTGAAAACAAGCCAAGATGATATATGTACCTGTAATGCATCTTGACATATTGCAGCAATCTCTACTTCTCTAAGAGGTTTCTTGTGCACTGCAAGAAGAAAGAAAACACAACGAATTTTCATCTGTCAACTTTGACATCACAATTTTCTCTTGTATCGCTTTCTTGATCAAGCAAGTCTGAAGTAGACAGTGATCATACAATTGACACAAGACATTTAACTTACCTTCCAAAATATCTGAAGCTGATCCTACACAATATTCCATAACAAGCTAAAAGAAAAAAAGAAAAGAAATATTTTACATAGACCTGCCGTACATATAATATGTGCAGGCCACTTACAGTAGTGTGTTTATTTGGTATTTGAAACTGGACTCAGCTGGTGGCTATATGGTAATTGTTCATATGAAAATGTTCAAAACATAGACAGTTATTGTTTCCCTTAGCTGCATTTTACAGATGTGAATACAATAAGCCAAAGACAGTAGGAATGCAATTTGCATGTCTGCGATTAATTAAGGCTACAGAATAGATGAACTAACTGTTTATTGTACAATGTGCTAAAGACAAAAGGTAGTAAAATTTGCCTACCCATGCCGTATGATCTTTCAAATGGCATCCTTTGTAGCTAATAGTATTCTTGTGATTACAAAGCTTTAGAAATTTAACTTCTTTTACAATATCCTGCCATTTCTACAATGTAAAAAAAAAGATAACAGTTTGTGAAATTGCATTTGATATTATCAAAGAAATAAAATAGCCAAAAAAACCAGCCCCTTTACTTAGATGATACCCCACCTCCATGGCTGGAAAATCCCCATAACCCAGCCTTGAGCCCCCATTCCCAGCAACCATCCCACTGATAGGATCAGTGGCATGATGGATAAGAGGGAGGGATGGGAGGGGAAAAAGGCTAGTACTCAGTAAACTCCTTAGGGTTAGGGTTAGGGTTTTAATGCTTCAAACTGAGCACCAAACTTAAGAACACTGCAACACGTTACAATGAATTGATGAAATGCTATTTGTGCCCACAAAGGAGAGCTGGACTGTTGATTGTTCAGATTTAAGACCACTGACAGGAAACATTTGTTGTTCACGTGGTTAAACCATCATTTAACTGCATGAAAATAATGAATGAAATTAACGCTGCATTTTCCACTGACCTCACTAGACTGTTTGCCACTGTAGGACATCTTCTTGATTGCCACCACCTCATTTGTTCTGGAATTTCTGGCCTGAAAGGAACAAAATACAATTGCATTAGTCATGTCTAGTATAGGGCAACATTAGACCATCTATCCATAATTGAATAACAGCTGTAGAAGATGTGTAAATTTAATTTCTGATTGTTGATTTATGGAGTGGTTTTCAACTGAGTGTCAAAACTAATCAAGTAATCAAGCAATTACTTTGGGTTTGGCTTTGGTTTTACTACGATTTGAGATTGGCTCAGTAGTCTGTCTAATTGGTAAGTAATAGGTTTGGTTTTGGTTTCATGACACTCTGTTGCATCTTGCACAAACTATTGTTAGTTATTCACTTTTTAATACACATAACACAGACAAAGTGAAAGCTTGTGGTTGAACATTGTTCAATTAGCTCAATTACCAAAACTTGGGAGCTGATTTACAATGGTTTTAGCAAATCCCATGAAACTTACATAGTACACAGCACCAAAGCTGCCATGGCCGATTTCTCTTAGCTCTATAAAAAGTTTCTCTGGGTCTTGTTCATCAAATAAGCCTGCAGTCTCTGAATTCCTTCCTAAGAATCCACCCTTACCATGCCCTGCTAAGGGCATAGCCGCATCAGGACCCCGCTGTCCACAAAGAAATGAAGTACCCTTGTCTAAAGCCTGGAGAAAAAAAGATCAACATATCAACATCATGAAAATTTGAGACAAAAGATTGATAACTTTTCCTGAGATGACGCTCAACCAACACAAATTAATGTCAAATGCCACCTCCTCGTCTACAGTGTACTTGTCAGCTGCAGTTGTTGTTACGTTTGGTGGGGAAGGTAACTACATGTAAAACTAATGTTTGTTGTGCCTTGTGTTTTCTGGTATATACAGACCCCACCAATACAAATTGTGGATAACAGTATCCACTGGATAAAGAAATCACCAGTTCAAACATGTACTTAAGTGTTAAAAAAGCCATATGCCATCTACTGGGTAGTGGTTTATTCAATGAATAGCATTGTCTTCTGAATTTTCTGAATGGCATGAATCTTTTCTTGAAAATGAGCATCTTGAATTTGGTTAAAGGCATCAAGATCCTTACATTTATATTGGTTGTAGAAGTTGCTGTGATTCGGACCAAAAAACCAATTGTGTCAGCAAAATTAATATATTTGTTAAACACATTCCCATCACATTAAAAGAAAATATATATCCTTTAAAGAATTGTCTAACATCCACAATTCAATTCTAGTTTAAGCTTCAACTTACAATTTTTGGAAACAAAAAAGTAGGACACACAATGATAAATTACTTCTTACAGTGGAACTAAGCACATAACCCTTACAAAGTAAAGTAACAACTAACTTTCTGATCACCAAAGACAAAATTAATCTCTTCACCTACCCACATGTATATATGTAACATTTGCAATATATTAACTCCTTTGTTGTTTTTCAGTTTCAATTCCAAGTAAGCAACATTATTGATACTATCTTTTAATGAGAGCTAGTAAATACACGTGTATAAACTAGAAAAGAGTTCACCCCATTAAAATCCTTTCATAGAATTTGAATGACTCACAGAATTTTTTGCTTTTCAGTTTCAATTCAAGTAAGCAACACTGTTAATAATACTATCTTTTAATGACAGCTAGCAATTATATAAATTAGTTAATAGTTCAACTCAAAAGAAATTTGAAAGAATTTGAAAGTCTCACATAAGTTCAGGGAAAATTAACATGAAGATGGTCATCTGTGCCATTCTATGTTACACATTTAACTTGAACCAAAACAACATAATGTCTCAGCTGAAACACGGCAGGAAATATGATTAAAACGAGCAACAGCACCAGCCTCCTTCTAATGAAACGAAATATGAAAGAAGCAGAGAAATTCTTTATTAAGAGCCACCAAATATTCCTTCTAAAGTAGTAGGGAACACAAAATTCCTACATAAATGTACATCTACAAAATAAGCAACACATATAGGTCAGAGCTTTGAACTAAAGCATAAATGGTAGTTTGACAAAGCTTTGACAATATACATGTACTCTTAATGTTCAACCACAATTAACATGGTTAGACATAAATTTTAAAGATACAATGTTGAAGCAAAGTTGTAATAAATTCGAACGACACATACCTATATTATAGGTATTTCTGCCCTGAAAATACAAACACTCCCTGAAGAATGCTCGTCAATTAGTTTCAAAACCAGAACAAATAAAATGTGGACAGGTCACAAAAAACAAATACATGTAAAATTTCCCCTTGATTCTAACAAAATTCTACTCCGCAGTATTGAAGAAAGGAGACTTTTCAGATTGATCCACTTGTAAACTAATAAACCTTAGCAAATTAGAGTTACCTAGGGTTCTCTAAACAACAATAAAGAAATAGAGAAGAATCAACTAATCAAAAATTAAGTATAAACAAATCAATCATTGGATTTCATAGGAGCATGAACAGTGACAGTAACTTTCAAAACTACATAAAATTGACAGACCCTGATCAGAAATCTAATCATTCAGAAAATCTTCTGTAGGAACATGATCTCTGGCATGGACAAGGAAACACAGAAGGTGATAAAAAGTTTATACCAAACATTTTAGTAGCATGGATGACAATCAAACTGTTCTAAAATTGACAAAGCAAGGTTAAACATTTAGGACTTATGAATTTGCTATCAAATTGCATCACTAGTATTACGCATAACTAAAAATGGACAGAAACTTAATCCCAAAGGTTACAAGTATGATGACACAAATTGAGGAACAAACACAAGCAGTGTCTGGGTGAGTCATAACAAGAGTGTGTTTAAAATAAAATTTAACGTATAAAATTTCATATCCTGAAAAAAAATCATCACAAAAAAAACTGCTACGGAATTAAAAGTGATTGGGAATTGTATAACTTTTAAAACAACCAAAGTTGATAATTATCAAATAAAATTATTCAGTTAATTCCCGCTAAATGCACCCTTGAAACCGTGAAATTATAATTTATAGAGTACACATGCACACAAGTACATATTTAATTACATATTTCTTGCACATGTGGGTTACTAAGACATTTATTGCTGACACACAGGGATGATTAACTAATGAGCAGTGATTGCAGTATAGGTTAGTTTTTGACACGGTAGTTATAATACATTGTATAGCATTCAACACTATTTGTTCCTTTGGAACAGTCAAGATCTGAACATGAAAACAAACATTCAGCATTATGTTTAAGAATCTACAACGAAACACAATTTATTTGGAAGTCTAGGGACAGTTGTGATCTCAGTGGTATTGCCCAACTAAACAACACACTTAGTAACAAGGTTGTGTGAAAGATGACATCATGCAAAACTTTAGCACGTACTACAGCATGTTTTGGTAGGCGTGCTTAATGATGACCCAAAATCATGCTAAGTGAATACCGGGGTAAGAACATCAACAAAAATAAGGCACGTACGAGAAAAATTAAGAACTCGCAACTCGATCGGAGAGCACTTAGAGCTTTGAAATACTTTTGGGAAGCATCAACGGACATTGATGTTTCGATATTAATCGAACGTGCCGCTATCCAACTTGATGAAGGCATGTGAACCCTCGATATCACGTTATTTTTAAACAAGTTATCGCAACTATTTAGCCCGGTGCTGTTTCTTCATTGAAAGAAGTGTAAAAAGAATACTTACACACGGCATGCAGACTAGAAAACACTACGGCGGCTTCAGATAATTTCAAATAATCCCTTTGTCTTCTTTCACCGGAAATTAATCGATGTAAGTCGGTGCAATTCTCGTTTTCAGCTCTCGTTCTCCTCTAAGTGTTTCTAATGGATAAAAATTACGGAATGTTCGTTGCCGCCTTCGTCTACGATAGTTATTTACGTCTAAGGGATGCAAAAGGAAGGGAAGCGATGACAAAATACCTTGAAATAAAACAATTTTGATTGCCGACGCTCGCTCCGGAGAAGAACACTACTTTGTGGTACACATACCGGACATTCAAAAACGCATAGATCTTTCACACTATTGATTCAACACTTGCAACCTGACAAGAGACGACTAAAAGGCGAGGGTGATTTGCTCTTAAGTTCGTCCTAGAAATAATTGTTAAAACGACTTGCCATGTGGAGAGTTCCTAAATATAAAACAACGAACTGTGCCGATCGTAGCGACATCTAAAGAACCTCAGGGGTGCGCCCGAACATGGCCTCTCACTTCCTTGCGAATACAAAAGCGAACCTAAACAAACGGCCTTTGCCGGGCACAAAACATTTCTAGGACATGGATCAAATCAAACCTGTTCCACAAAACTACGCCGCCGCAGCGATTGTCTCGAATACACAAGATGGTTTGAATTCATGAGTTCACTTCGACTGATCTCTAAATAAACTGTGCGGTGAATTCACTTTCTTTCGCGAAACTTCAGTCCTCAAAACATGCCGCCACGGCTGAAATACGTGTCGAGATACGGTGCTGTAGTCAAGTTGAAGAGATGTGGCAAATCTAAATCGACGAGGCCGCCTTCAGTGCAGGGCTGATGCATGTGATCGGACGGTACAACACCACACTACAGTCGAAACCATTGTCCGACGGACGTACAGCGAGCGAAACGAAAATAGTTTGCCTTTCACGGTAGGGAATCTTGATTGGATCGTTCCGAAATAGAGAACAGTAATACTAAATCTAAAAATTACCTCTTATCCTTGATATCCTTGGACGAATCTTCATGAAACACAACAAAAACTCACAAAATGCTAATCACTCCCAAACATCTCCCCAACAACATGGCGACTTTCTTGCTCCTACGCTTGCGCATGACGTAAGTTCATCAACAATCCCGGTACCACCCCTATTGATTCTGATATGGCGCTCACCGGGGTAGACAGGGGACGGAAGTACACATTAACTAACAGTATGTTTTTTAAATCGATGTTTGCTTCCCTTTTCATCCTCTAGAGTCAAAATTGGCCAGAACTTCCTAATCTATGAGAAAACTAAAAAATGAAAGAACTTCAGAGAAAGCATTACAGGACATGATCAGAAAGCAACAATCTTCTACTGATTCTAGCATAGCAATTAAAGGGCAGTTGTGTTTTTGATTTTTTTCTGACTTAACGTTTTTTTTAATTTGGCTATTAATTTTGTCACTTTTATATTTGATCCCTAGGTTTTAATCTGAAATATTTTCATTGATTCAATTGGAGTGCTTCATATATAAAATTAATCATTGAGAAAAGAAAATGTCTGTAAGACAAATGTTTGATGTTAGAGCGGTTTTCAATCGAGTGTCGAAAGTAATTAAACAATTACTTTGGTTTTAGTTTTGGTTTTACTACGGTTTGAGATTGGCTGAGTAGTCTTATTGGTAAGTAATTGGTTTGGTTTTGGTTTTACGACACTCAATTGAAAACCGCTCTTAAACAACAAATATTTAATATTTGTACCAGAGGAACAAAAATATAAAATAAAAATTGAGATTAGTTGAGATTATCAAATCAGTCTAGACATACCGGTATTGGACACCATATTTATTGGGCAGCTAATTACAGGATTAAAACAGTGCATAGGTCTTTGGTGTGTTCTAATAAGTATTTTATTGCTTCATGTTCTTGTCATACTTAATTAGATAAGGGTTTTGAAAAAGTAGAGGCATTTCAAGGTTCAGAGTTAGGAGTCTTGTCATTGCTTCTTTTGCAACTCCTCATCTCATCTCCAGTTGTGTTCTAATAAGTATTATATTGCTTCATGTCCCTGTCATACTCAATAAGATAAGGGTTTTGAAAAAGTACAGGCCTTTCAAGGTTCACATGTAGGAGTCTTATCATTGCTTCTTTTGCAACTCCACATCCATTGTCTCCGGTTGTGTTCTAATAAGTATTTTATTGCTTCATGTCCTTGTCATACATAAGATAAGGGTTTTGAAAAAGTTGAGGCATTTCAGGGTTCACATTTAGGAGTCTTATCATTGCTTCTTTTGCAACTCCTCATCTCTTGTCTCCTAGATTTCAACTCAGGGACATTGATACCTGTGAACAGGCTCCAGCTGGAAGGGTCTGACTGTGACAGGAAGGACCGAGAAGGACCTGGCTGAGAGTGAAGTGGCTGAGGGGGAAATCGGATGGGGGTTGTGGCCTCTCCCCTCCTCTCTCTCTTCCATCCTTTTTCTTCCCTCTTTCTTTTCACCCCATCCTCGACTACAGAGCCTGTTCACAGGCTAGGACATCGACTAGAATACAAAGAGACTGTTAATATAACTATTAATTAAGTTATTGCGTTTGAATCTTCCGAAGCTGTTTCTTCTTCATCCTTTTAATCTTAGCTGTGTTTTTTATCTGCAAAGCAAAAATAAAATGTGGATATTAGGCATGCTTTGAAAATGAATGTTAGCATATGGTTCAGTTTTATACCAGCTAAACTGCCTGCAGTTCCTTCTTTAATAACTTGTATTTATAACAAAGTTTTTGATCGTGATTGGTTCTCTGTGCACCTACTGGTCTCGTAATAGGTGCACAATCAAGTGGGTGTCCAATTACACGTATCCATATTTTAACTTTTTGTAACTGGATACCTGTAATATTGGATACGGTAACCTACTCCATGAGCTTTAATGGCTTCCTTCTTAGTGTCTCCTACATTTTTACAACTTATAGAAAACTCTACTGACTTTTCGCTCAAAAGAAGCTCTTAATAATCTTGAAATTTGTGATTGATAGTATTAATTAGTAATTGGAACTTGTGTCATACAGTTCATGGAGTCATCACACTCGCTATTTCACATTGGCTTTGTGCTGTACACTCGTCCAATTTTGAAATTACGTGCCTGATTACTCCCTGAATTGTACTCCACTTGGTTCTCTTACCATTACTAAATCCCTTCAAATAGGAAAACATTGTTTGAGTAGCACCATATAGTGAAGAAAGTCATTCCATAAGCACTCTGGCCATTTTTCACTTCCTTTCTGTCTAATTATGACCTCAATTCTTTTTCCTTGAAATAATATAATTTTCTAGTTTCCCAGAAAATTTTTTTGAGTCTCCCAATTTTTAGCAAAAATTAAACATTAATAAGAGTTCACACCCCTCCCCCCTATAGCCAGGGTCTATAATCTTTCTAGTTCAATAACAGAGAAAGCAAGAATTGCAATATGAAAACTGGAAAGAAGCTGGAGAGCACAAACAGATGAAACCTACAGACAGAGGAAAAAAATGAAATACACTCCAGGGCCACGGGGTTTTCAGTGATTATATACTGTTGTGTGCTACCCTCAATAAATAAAGTTGATTATTATTATTACTCCTGACATACCACTTGAACAACTTGAGATTTCTTTTCATTTTCCTCTCTTCTTTTTCTTCTTTCCTCTATTCTTTTTCGTTCTTCCTGAAAAATTAAAAATAGTTTACAACCAACATAAGAGAATAGAACAGTGACACAATAATTATTTGTATTGATACATTCATCTCATGAACTATTCATTAGGTCTGTACTGGAAAATATTCACCACTTGGTCTTAGCAGACTGGAATAAAAACAGCAAGGTTCATACTGAAAATACTATAAAAATATTCTTCCACTATGGCCGTGGGCAAGATTGATTAAGAAGAGATTCAATATTGATTCAACTTTGAAAAAGAGCTGATGAAACTTTAGTCAGTCCAATACTTGTAAAATCACATGACTCATGTATTAGACTGACAATATAGAATTCTGTTTCTTCTGTTATATCTTGTAATGTCAGGGACAGTTTCATTGCATTCTCGGCAGGCAGGCAACTGGTGGGCAAAATGTTTTGAACTGAACTAGTTTATAAGATGAACTTTTCTCTAGATGGTCAAACCAGGTGGGCAAAATCGTCCTCACAGCTTGTCAATTTGCCCAGTGCCTAGCCCTTAATGAAACCCCTGAATGTGCTATTGGTGTGGTAAGACCTAATAAAAACAATAAAGTTAGGCTAATAAAACAGTAGAGTTTATGTTTGGAGAAATAAATATGTTTTGGGCCCGACTCAGACTCATTTTAGCCTGAGCTGCTAGGTGAGGGCTAAAACAAGCTCTGAGATGGACCAAAACATATTTATGCTCAAGAACATAAACTCTATTACTATTGTTATCACTTTGGAGAGCATTGGGAAACTCAAAACTGAAAAAAAGACAACAAAACAGTCTGAACAATCACACGAGCATTTACAAGTTTGATGGCTTTTATTTTCCCTCAATGAAAATACACAATATATCAAGCGAAGCTGGCTAGAAATTACAAAATCTAGCCATTTGAGTTTTCAAAATTTGTAAAAGACATGAAAGGAAAGTTCGATAAAGCTTATTTGTAAGTGTCGAAATTAATTGTACAATTGCTAAACTGACAGTTTGGCATAAGCTCAATTGGTTGAACTGAGTGTATTTGGCTTGAAGTCGCAAAACTTACATGCACTTCGCCACTGGCCATGGAGCTAATATAGATGGTATTGACATTAGAAGCTTCTCTTTAAAGAAACAGGCAACTAAGAATGTCCAAACCAGCACGTTTCTGTAAGGCTGAGCAATCCATTACGTAGGATGTCAAGCTTTGTTCATTGAGAATGGCACCGTAATTTCTTTCACCAACGAAAGCAGAGCGAACGGAGCCCGTGAACATTGCAATGGCTTTTTTATTTTGATTGGCTGCCTACATCATATGATTGTTTGATTCTCACTTTTCATTGGTTTATTTCAGTAGCTAAAATACATTTTAGCCTGCCAAATTCTCCATTTTAGCCCGCAAAATGCGCCACAATGCCCAACATAGTGATAATAATATCCTTTCAATACTGACCTCTTTGTATNTGATTGGTGAAATTAGAAAGGTGCATTATATTAATAACAATTTTAATAATAATGGTTTATTTATCAGATCCACAAGGTGGCTCTGTTAAATTACATTATTTACAATCGAAACAAATTACATTATTTACAATTAAAATGGATTTGAAATTACACTAAAATTGAGTAATTACTCTGTAGTCTATTATATAAAAATTTCCTTGAAAGTCTTAAAAAGGTTCTGTAATCATTACAGTTTCTAATAAATTATGGTAAATTGTTAAATAGCTTCGACGCATTATCTTGGAATTTGGCGTTTTCGGTCGGAACCTCTAATCTATTGGAATTGCTTGAGCGCAGTTCCTTGCGACATTGCTGTTTTATTATTTTTACATAATCTGGCCAAGTCTCAGTATTATGCAAAGCTTTAAAGCATGATTTCAGGAGGTTGAAATCTCTTCTCTCATATGTCGGGCATTACTCCGACATATCTGATGCGAATTAACTAAATGGGGTAACTCGTGACTCACTTAACTTTACGGAACACTCAGACTGGTTTTCACGTGCGGGTCGAAAAGTAATTGGTTTTGCATTATTACTCGACACGATTGGCTAAAAGAAACTGGGGTTTTATCCAGTCAGAAGTAAAACCAAAACTGATCGCAACTAGTTAGCATACGTTTTCCCGCGCTTCCCGTCAGCGACATATATTTACTATGAATTTTGATTGGTTCATTGGATTGCCTATGTCCTTTATGATTGGCCAGAGTGTTTACTTTGGTTTTGGTGTTAATCTACGACACGCAGTTGAAAACCGCTCTATTATACACTCTACTCATTTACATAAGATTGATCGACATCATCATTATCAGCAAAAATTTTTTTTTATATTCTGCTCATTGTTCTGTTATGTGTACATTGGCAATTGCAGATAAAAGCAGTGACGTTGCACAAGCCCTACTTCGGCTGGCTGAGCGGTGTTTCAATCTACTGAACGAAACACGCCAGAAGTTTGGTGTTCAATCGCCCTCGCCACTGACCCTACTTCGAATTATTCATCAGATACAACCATTGGTCAAAGGAGGAGGTTATGTTGAATTTGAATATATGGAACCTAGTAATGTTGGAGAAGAGAAGAGTAGACGAGTAGGGGTGGATGTTACAAAAGAGATCTGTGTTTGGCACTGTCGGTTTTCACCAAGATCGCCTCAGAATACCAGGCTGAGTTTTGTCACGCGCATAATGGCCACGATCACGTTGTGTTCTTGGACAAAAGAATATAAAAATATAAGGAGAAAACATTTAAATCTGGCCCCGGTTGTTCGAAAGGTGGATAACGCTGTCCAGTGGAAAAATCACTATCCAGTGGATAGCGTGGTTTGTTTTTGTCAACACTTATCCGCTGGATAACATTATCCAGCCTTCGAACAACCGGGCCAGATGTATATTTAGAGATAAACTGTGCGTATGTTAATCTTGCAGGTAAATGTTTCTGTCACTGCTTCTAGCACTGACTAGTTCCAACTGAATTGATACGTATTATATTTGTCGAAACTTTTATCTTCTTTCCATCTTGTATGGATTTATTCATGGGTATTACGTGTTACAAATTTGGCGTTGTAAATTTATCTTTCAGCCACTCAGATATTTGATCTTCTTGAAAGTGAGCTACCTGCCGATTTCAACAGAAAGTTTGGTCTGTCTTGGAATTTGTTAAAAGCATCCGTAGGAAGCCACCGAGGCAAGGCACAGTATCCTATTTACACTAACAAATTAAACTGAAGCTCGACATCAAAAAGGAATTAAGGTCATTCCTCACATTTGCATTGCGCATCCTTACTGCGCATAATTTATGGCCTCATTAGCGCGCGTTCGTGCACGCGCACATTGAAAACATGGCGGATTTGCCTTGATATTGAGTTCTGTCAGTTGCAAAGTGGCTATAGCTCACTAACGAGCTCGGGCACCCCAAATTTTTTCCAGTCATTTTAATCAACTAATCATTAGCTTTGCGTTAGAAAAGACTGATCTGATTTCAATGTTTAAAATTGAATAAATAAGGAAAATAGCAGTGCAGTTTTGTTTCAGGGGAATTATATACGTTTGCAATCAATCAATCTTTATTACCTGAAAGACACTAGAACCACGAACCATTCACATTTTTTGTTTACATTTTTTGCTGACTACATGATAAAGGCCTCTTATAATGTGTTGGACTGGAGTTTTTACGGTGTAAACATGGAACTATAGTCACTAAAATTAAAATGTACTAAAATGTTTGAGTGTCCTAACTGTAACAAAGATTGATTGAGTGAATGATTGCAAACAGATATTTATTTAGCAGAGCCGATTCGATTTGGGTTCTTGATCCGGTTCATCATTGGCCATATTTTATTTAAAGACAGGAAGTTATGTGAAATTGTGTGATACATGTCCTTATCAGATAACAAATAACTGCATGCATCGTGTTAATTATGAACGAGTTTTGACGGGCATTTGACGTTGACGAATTAGATTTTAAACCAATCATGTAACATATCTTTCAGGTTTTATTTATTGACGCTTTCTTGTCGTAAGCAATACAGTTTTGTTAGAAATACAGAAGCAGAGCGGTTTTTAATTGAGTGTCGAAAGTAATCAGGAGGTTGCTTTGGTTTTGGTTTTGGTTTTACTACGGTTTGAGATTGGCTGAGTAGTCTTATTGGTAAGTAATTGGTTTGGTTTTGGTTTTACGACACTCAATTGAAAACCGCTCTTAAACAACAAATATTTAATATTTGTACCAGAGGAACAAAAATATAAAATAAAAATTGAGATTAGTTGAGATTATCAAATCAGTCTAGACATACCGGTATTGGACACCATATTTATTGGGCAGCTAATTACAGGATTAAAACAGTGCATAGGTCTTTGGTGTGTTCTAATAAGTATTTTATTGCTTCATGTTCTTGTCATACTTAATTAGATAAGGGTTTTGAAAAAGTAGAGGCATTTCAAGGTTCAGAGTTAGGAGTCTTGTCATTGCTTCTTTTGCAACTCCTCATCTCATCTCCAGTTGTGTTCTAATAAGTATTATATTGCTTCATGTCCCTGTCATACTCAATAAGATAAGGGTTTTGAAAAAGTACAGGCCTTTCAAGGTTCACATGTAGGAGTCTTATCATTGCTTCTTTTGCAACTCCACATCCATTGTCTCCGGTTGTGTTCTAATAAGTATTTTATTGCTTCATGTCCTTGTCATACATAAGATAAGGGTTTTGAAAAAGTTGAGGCATTTCAGGGTTCACATTTAGGAGTCTTATCATTGCTTCTTTTGCAACTCCTCATCTCTTGTCTCCTAGATTTCAACTCAGGGACATTGATACCTGTGAACAGGCTCCAGCTGGAAGGGTCTGACTGTGACAGGAAGGACCGAGAAGGACCTGGCTGAGAGTGAAGTGGCTGAGGGGGAAATCGGATGGGGGTTGTGGCCTCTCCCCTCCTCTCTCTCTTCCATCCTTTTTCTTCCCTCTTTCTTTTCACCCCATCCTCGACTACAGAGCCTGTTCACAGGCTAGGACATCGACTAGAATACAAAGAGACTGTTAATATAACTATTAATTAAGTTATTGCGTTTGAATCTTCCGAAGCTGTTTCTTCTTCATCCTTTTAATCTTAGCTGTGTTTTTTATCTGCAAAGCAAAAATAAAATGTGGATATTAGGCATGCTTTGAAAATGAATGTTAGCATATGGTTCAGTTTTATACCAGCTAAACTGCCTGCAGTTCCTTCTTTAATAACTTGTATTTATAACAAAGTTTTTGATCGTGATTGGTTCTCTGTGCACCTACTGGTCTCGTAATAGGTGCACAATCAAGTGGGTGTCCAATTACACGTATCCATATTTTAACTTTTTGTAACTGGATACCTGTAATATTGGATACGGTAACCTACTCCATGAGCTTTAATGGCTTCCTTCTTAGTGTCTCCTACATTTTTACAACTTATAGAAAACTCTACTGACTTTTCGCTCAAAAGAAGCTCTTAATAATCTTGAAATTTGTGATTGATACTATTAATTAGTAATTGGAACTTGTGTCATACAGTTCATGGAGTCATCACACTCGCTATTTCACATTGGCTTTGTGCTGTACACTCGTCCAATTTTGAAATTACGTGCCTGATTACTCCCTGAATTGTACTCCACTTGGTTCTCTTACCATTACTAAATCCCTTCAAATAGGAAAACATTGTTTGAGTAGCACCATATAGTGAAGAAAGTCATTCCATAAGCACTCTGGCCATTTTTCACTTCCTTTCTGTCTAATTATGACCTCAATTCTTTTTCCTTGAAATAATATAATTTTCTAGTTTCCCAGAAAATTTTTTTGAGTCTCCCAATTTTTAGCAAAAATTAAACATTAATAAGAGTTCACACCCCTCCCCCCTATAGCCAGGGTCTATAATCTTTCTAGTTCAATAACAGAGAAAGCAAGAATTGCAATATGAAAACTGGAAAGAAGCTGGAGAGCACAAACAGATGAAACCTACAGACAGAGGAAAAAAATGAAATACACTCCAGGGCCACGGGGTTTTCAGTGATTATATACTGTTGTGTGCTACCCTCAATAAATAAAGTTGATTATTATTATTACTCCTGACATACCACTTGAACAACTTGAGATTTCTTTTCATTTTCCTCTCTTCTTTTTCTTCTTTCCTCTATTCTTTTTCGTTCTTCCTGAAAAATTAAAAATAGTTTACAACCAACATAAGAGAATAGAACAGTGACACAATAATTATTTGTATTGATACATTCATCTCATGAACTATTCATTAGGTCTGTACTGGAAAATATTCACCACTTGGTCTTAGCAGACTGGAATAAAAACAGCAAGGTTCATACTGAAAATACTATAAAAATATTCTTCCACTATGGCCGTGGGCAAGATTGATTAAGAAGAGATTCAATATTGATTCAACTTTGAAAAAGAGCTGATGAAACTTTAGTCAGTCCAATACTTGTAAAATCACATGACTCATGTATTAGACTGACAATATAGAATTCTGTTTCTTCTGTTATATCTTGTAATGTCAGGGACAGTTTCATTGCATTCTCGGCAGGCAGGCAACTGGTGGGCAAAATGTTTTGAACTGAACTAGTTTATAAGATGAACTTTTCTCTAGATGGTCAAACCAGGTGGGCAAAATCGTCCTCACAGCTTGTCAATTTGCCCAGTGCCTAGCCCTTAATGAAACCCCTGAATGTGCTATTGGTGTGGTAAGACCTAATAAAAACAATAAAGTTAGGCTAATAAAACAGTAGAGTTTATGTTTGGAGAAATAAATATGTTTTGGGCCCGACTCAGACTCATTTTAGCCTGAGCTGCTAGGTGAGGGCTAAAACAAGCTCTGAGATGGACCAAAACATATTTATGCTCAAGAACATAAACTCTATTACTATTGTTATCACTTTGGAGAGCATTGGGAAACTCAAAACTGAAAAAAAGACAACAAAACAGTCTGAACAATCACACGAGCATTTACAAGTTTGATGGCTTTTATTTTCCCTCAATGAAAATACACAATATATCAAGCGAAGCTGGCTAGAAATTACAAAATCTAGCCATTTGAGTTTTCAAAATTTGTAAAAGACATGAAAGGAAAGTTCGATAAAGCTTATTTGTAAGTGTCGAAATTAATTGTACAATTGCTAAACTGACAGTTTGGCATAAGCTCAATTGGTTGAACTGAGTGTATTTGGCTTGAAGTCGCAAAACTTACATGCACTTCGCCACTGGCCATGGAGCTAATATAGATGGTATTGACATTAGAAGCTTCTCTTTAAAGAAACAGGCAACTAAGAATGTCCAAACCAGCACGTTTCTGTAAGGCTGAGCAATCCATTACGTAGGATGTCAAGCTTTGTTCATTGAGAATGGCACCGTAATTTCTTTCACCAACGAAAGCAGAGCGAACGGAGCCCGTGAACATTGCAATGGCTTTTTTATTTTGATTGGCTGCCTACATCATATGATTGTTTGATTCTCACTTTTCATTGGTTTATTTCAGTAGCTAAAATACATTTTAGCCTGCCAAATTCTCCATTTTAGCCCGCAAAATGCGCCACAATGCCCAACATAGTGATAATAATATCCTTTCAATACTGACCTCTTTGTATACAAGATATAGTGGAAATAACATGGCAGCACCTGGATATGAATTCTATTTTTAAGTAGTAAAAACAATATTTAACGAACGAGCCAGCAAGGGAGTAAAATATTGTTTCTAAGATGAGAAAATAAAATTCATATCTTCAAGCCACCATGTAATTTTCTTTTTATTATTTAGACAAACTGATTGTTTGCACACACAGCTGTCAAATCCTCATTAGTGAGGATATGGAAAAATATGCCACTTGGGTCCCTGATATAGGTAAAATCTACATATAAGCCAAGTGGCCCATCAGGTTAGTGTTTATCACCAGTCTCTGTGGCATAAAACCGCAAGGAATATTTCTACTCCCCCCTGGATTGGATGCTAGTCCATCACTTGGTTAGCCCCCAGCATTAAATTTGTTGGTATGCATTAGTACACCTGGGTGGAGAGAGGCACTGTGGGAGTGACTCACCTCTTTCTGTTTCTTTGCTTCATCTTTGAGCTCTTTTTCATAAACTTTCATTAATTTCTGTTCCATTCTGGTCTTCTGTTTCCTGTTCCAGGATGTATGTAGTGGTTGTACACCAATAACTGCTGACTTTCTATGATAAAAGAAATGTTAGTAAGTAAAAAAGACAAAAGATAGTAAATATTAAGTTAAGCCATACAATTCTTCAATTATTGCATGATGTTTGGCCTTGGCACAGAGAAGATAAAGTCTGCATACAAGTCACCCGCCCATCAGGCCGAAGCTTATCCTGGTTTCTGTAGTATGAAGCGACTAGGAGTACTTCAGCTCCCCCTTGATGGGATGTTAGTCCATCGCAGAGTTACCCCCAGCATTAAGTTCGCCGGTACCCATTTATACACCTGGGTGGAGAGAGGATAAATACAAAAGAGTGTAAATTATACAGTTTGCCATGAACATGCTCAGAATTTTGCTGTTATAAATTGGTTAGAGTTACATGTATTTATCAAAACAATTACAGTCAACTTGTTAGTCTGGTGTAACTCACAAGAATACAAGATAAACGTGAAGTCTATAATAAAGAAATTAAGAAGAAATTTGATATTAAATAAAGTAATTTCAGTCTTTAGTGGACAAAAATCTTGTACCAGAATAATTTTAAGTATACTATGTTAACAGAGCTGTCAGTAAGGGCCGTAACCCATAGCACCTGTTATTGCTGAGCTTGCATGCATGCTACAGGTGAACTTGTTTGTAGTTAATACAAGTCTTCCATGAGGTACTCAAAAATAACAAGTTTGTTACGGATGTGAAGATCAAGGCTACAGGTGTAATGACAGCCCTGAATGTACAGTCCTTTTTGCATTTCCTAAAAACCTAAAGATATATAAACAGTTGCCTGAAATAACACAAAAACAATTTCCCATGGGAACTTGAGAAAACATATTTCAAAGTTTCAACAAATTGCACAGCACATGTAAAATTACATCTTCAGTTTTATTTCACCAGTACTTTGAACTGTTTCATACAAACTTCAAAATCTGCTTTCAACATTTGGTATTGTCAGTTAGAAATGATTTCTTTAGAGAAGATATTTAAAACAGGTCCACAGAAGCTTGCAATATAAAGAAAATGTGAGGATAACCTAATGAAATGGCTGTAAATGGCTGAATAAGCCTCCAAGAGGCTTATTCCAAAATTGACCTAGGCCTGCAGATGGCTGTGTCCACAAGTATTAGAAAGCAAGGGAATAACCATTGTATTTTCTTTGTTTAGGAGTCATGGGTTAGCTGTTTTTAGTGAATTGTTCGGTCTTCGTTCTCAGTTCCTGGGTACCAGCACACAAGAATGGAACGTTATAGATGGAGTTTATTCCAAGGGGGAAGGGGAGCTTATTTGAGCAGGCAGGAGCTTGTTTTATTTGTTGGTAATATATTTCCCTTTTGTTATGGCAAATAAATGATGATGATTTGATTTGATTTGATGATATTCCAAAATTGGAGATAAATGAGACAGCTAATATGTATCATTTGTTATCTGTACTGATATCCTAAAAGCAGAGTTACCATAAATAAGAGACCACCAAAGTTGTCTCACATGCTGTTTTAAGTTGGAGATGGGAAAAGCAAAGATGTTATTCAGATGAAACAATCACCTGGGCAGTATATCTTTGACACATTATTTTGTTGATATAGTATTGATTGATAAAGAGTGTGCATATTAAGTGTAAATTACCTATCATGTAGTGCTTGATAAAGACAATAAAAGCAAGGAAATGGGAGCTTATTTGGGCTGTGGAGCTCACTCAAAAAATATTGACCCTGCAGATCAGGGCTTATCTGAGAGGGAGGCTCATTTGGATCAGGAGGGGGACTTATTCAGTTATTTACAGTATGTTGTTAAGTCTGTGGACAGAAGGACATGTTGAAAGAGAAACGTGGGGTGCAATAGATTTATTGGCCTTAGTTCAGTAATCCATCCCAGTCAAAATTTTACAGTGGACTGCATTTGATTGAGTCAGGTAATGAAGGCAACTAAAATGAGGGAGGAGACATGACATGACCATATATGGTAACTTCTACTAGATCCTTAAATTTGTCCGCAGGCATACCCAGCCCTTGACAATATCATTGAAAGTTTTGTTTAATCCACATATTTTAAACTAATTACATATGTGTGTGTTGTTAATAAATGTTGGTATATATATAAATAGCACCTTGGCATATTATCTAAAATTATACATTATAGAAAGTTATATTTTAGAAACTAATCAAGGATAACAATAACAATCTGCTGACCAGAATATTTTATGCAAGCTTGATATTAGTGGAGCTCTATACTCATATAGGAAAGAAAAGGAAACCCATGAATTAATTTTCTCATGGTTATCATGGCCAGCAGTATTGCTTATGGGCATGTATACATGAAAACAATGACAACGGCAGTGGCAGTGGTGGTGGAGTCGCCCAAGATGGCAGCCACACTCCAGTTAGTAGGTTGACAGAGATATACATCCTTGGTTTATAGTGTACTTCTTTGATATTGGACATCCATGTTATGGTCACAACTGGATTACGGACTCACGTCAGGTTAACTTGTTTTAATCAGAGCCGGGTTGTTTGCAGGAGCTAGTTAACACTAACCCAGGATTAAAAGTTAATTGAAGTATAATTTTTTCTTCTGTACAAATGTTTTTCACTGCTTTTGCTTTGTGTAGTTTGAATTTATTCAAACTCAAAACAGAAGGCCAAACACTATAAACAGAGGACCTCACCACAAAGTTACAAATGTCAAATCAAAATTCTCGCTTATCCTGGGTTAGCTTAATCGGGCTTTGGACAACCTGGCCCAGGAGCTCTTGGCTAAAGAAAAAATATATATTACAATGATTTCCAGAGCCAAAACCAGAGATCAAACTCTTTTTTGTGGACTGTGTTTGATTGTGACTGCTGCGAATTTGTTTCACTTTTGTTAGCTTCCATTTTTATCCTTTACCTCTAGTAGCCTGTTACATGAACCTTTGCCTTTTACAGCAACTTAACACTAGAGGATTTTATATTAAGTCAAAACCGGCCATGTATCGAAATACAATTTTACACCTTTTATGGGAATAAAACTATTTTCTTCGATGACGTTACACGTGTGTACTTCGCTACCCACAGCTACGTAATTTAAAGTTTTCATACTTACAAAAATCAACATGTTACTGTTATTTTTGGTTTCCAACAATTATTGTTCACCTTAAAAGGACATCTCCCTTCAAGAAAAACTAACCTTTTCTTCTCGCTTTTCCAAACCCTTCCGGATTTCGGTTTTCCACGAGGAATATTTTTTGGTTTGTTTGGCACATCCTGTGTTGTGGTGGCCGCCATTTTGTTCCATGTGTTTATCAACGCCCGCATATCAGACAGCGGAAGTTCACCATAGTAGCTACGTCATCATTTTCAATATGGCGGCTAAGACTTTCAGTTTTGGACGAATTCTTCTTCAGCCTTCTGTGGTGTTTTTCCGCTCCAGATTGTCCATAGCATTTGTAAATAGAAAACCAGTCCTCCCAGGACATGTCCTTGTGTCTCCCATTCGCGTTGTTAAGAGATTTTGTGACTTAACAGAGGAAGAAGTTGCGGACCTGTTTACGAGCACGCAAAAGATCGCGCGACTTATTGAGAAGGAATACGGCGCTACTTCTCTTTCGATAGCGATCCAAGACGGACCTGAAGCAGGACAGACAGTTGAACATGTGCACGTTCATGTATTGCCAAGAAAGAAAGGTGATTTTGAACACAACGATGATGTCTACAAAGCGCTCGATGAACACGACAAACAGCAGATTGAGCAAGAAAGTTCCAACAGGCACAAGGGATTTAGAAGTGAGGAAGACATGTCGAAAGAAGCAGCTCGTCTAGCTAGTTTATTGTAAACGTCATTTTTCAAATGCTGTAATTCTAAAATGATGGAAGTGTATGTGAATCTGGAGGTGATAAGAATGCATGCAGACTCAGCGTGCTCTCTTAGTTCCGTGATCAATCTTTACTTACCTTACCTTGTGGAAGTCACGGTTGTTGTATCGGATGGTAGAATCACGACAAGTGAGATTAGAGGAAGTGCTGGTATGAAACCGTTGAGTTTGGAAACTGGAATAAATTGTTAAATGTTAGGTCAGTTAATAAAAGTACCAAATATGGACTTGAAATATTGAACTGTTATTATTCAATCTAATCAATCCATCAGTCAATCTGTCTGTCTGTCAGTCTTTTCCTCTGTCTGTCTTTCTTTTGTTCTGTCTCTCTGTCTCTCTATCTTTCTGTTCGTCTGTCGTTCTGTCTGTGTCTTTTTGTCTGCCTTTCTGTCTATCTTTCTGTCTGTCTGTCGTTCCGTCTGTCTTTCTGTCTATCTGTCTGTCTGTCTGTCTCCCTGCCTGCCTGCCTGCCTGCATGCATGCCAGAGAGTCAGTTCAGTGAGGCAGGTAGTCTCAACCTAATTAGTATGGTGTTTTTATTCCCAGGTTATAAGGTTTTTGACACTTTAATAAAGTTCNGCATGCCAGAGAGTCAGTTCAGTGAGGCAGGTAGTCTCAACCTAATTAGTATGGTGTTTTTATTCCCAGGTTATAAGGTTTTTGACACTTTAATAAAGTTCTCACTCACTCACAGTCCGTCCGTCAATCCGCGTTGCGATTGTGATTTGTTTTTGGAGAACACACGAGAGTCGTGTTACACACAGTAGTCCAATACGACGATCATATGGTAATCGAAAATCAGCCCTATCGAAATAGGCAGAAGAGCCTCCGGGTAATTAAAAAGTTAACTACTAGTAGGTTACAACTGGGGCGACCTGAACAAGATTAACTCCCCGAGGGGGGGACTCCCATATGGAATGGACGGGGATGCTCGTCGTCTCGCTTAGGGGTGTAAATTTCGGATTTTGGTCTCGCTTAGGGTGTTCTGGGCAAAC